ATTCTGATAAATTTCTAATGCTTTGCTATAATAATTACGTGCGATTTCACTATTATTATCACTATCTAAAATACCAAAACCCTTCATTATAAAACCAAATACACAATGATTATCTGGTAGATTGATTTTATTCTTCAATATGTCGTAGGCTTTTTCAAAATATTGTCGAGCCATAACCTTATCTTCTTTTCCATAATAACAAGTAGCAATATCATTTGTCACTTTCGAAGCATCTTCCCATTGATTAGATGATAAGTAACGATCAAATGCTTTCTCATAATTCAATATTGCTTGATCATATTTCTTCTCATCAGCATACGACCAACCGATAAGTTCATAAATTTTAGCCGCATATTCGTATTCGTTTCCATATAAATTGAAAAGATTTTCTAAATACTTTCGACATTTATTATAATATCCCATTCTTACTAATAATTCACCAAGTAATAAATTCATCTCCGTTTCTCTACATTCCTTAAGTAATGTTTGTATATCATTCATCAAAACTTCTTTAGATACAGAAGATAATTTAACTAACCATATTTTATCATTTTCATCATAAGTGACATTATCTATAGTAAACGATGTTCCTAAATCAAAGAGAACTTCTTGTTCTTCTGGATAATCACTATATTCAGCTATATCAACTAGTGCTGTAGTTAATTTTGTTGTATCAACATGAATTTCAAGGATAACAGTTTCTACACCTAAACATTTTGTTCCTTTCTTAGCAAATGTATTGGCTATATCTTTTGATCTACTCGTTGAAAGAAATCCATTTGTAGCAATATTTTTACCAATATTATATTTAAGATGGTAAATTTCAGGTGGTGATAGATTCAAACCATGATATGACACAAATTGTTCTTGATGTTGTTTTAAATCGTCATATTTCAATTGAAGATTTTTACATAGATCAATAATAAAGAATCGAAAAATTAATAATGATTCATAATCTTCAGTTCTTAGAGCTTTATTAATTAATCGATAAATAAATGTTGGTTGTGTATACCAATAAATAGCATTAGTTGATTTATAAGTTTGTTCAAATTCATTGATATTTGCTAATTCTTTTTTATTTCCACGATAATAATTTCGACATATTTCTAACATTTCTCTTTTTTCTTGTTCTTGATCATAATTAGTTTTCAATAAAACATATTTAAATGCACGAAATGTATTAAAATCATGTAATTCACTATTTAAATTTTTCATTGTTCGTTCATCTTGTTCAAATAAACTTGTAATTTGTGATTGTTTAATTAAATAATAAATATTTTCTTGTATAACTTTTAGTAATGTTTCATGTTCAGTATATATTCCAATTAATTTATAATATTTCTCATGATCTTCTTTTAAATAATGTTCATATTTGATATTATTTATACCAAAGATATAAATTGAATCTATTTGTTCATAATCATGGACTTTATCAATCATTTCATTTATACTTTGATCTGATAAGATAAGAAAAATTTTTTCTATTTTAATTTGATTAATATATTCTAAACATATATCAAGATTTGAACATATAACAACATAATCATTAACTTGTTGTAATAATTCAACTGTTTTCTTTGTATCATTATAAATATCAATATTTTTATCATACCAAATTATTATTATTTCTTCTTTATTTTGATTTTCATTTGATGCGAAAATTGATGAAGAAAATATGTTTGAAACTTGATGATGATGTACTAGTTCTTCTGAAAGTAATTTTTGTATCGTATGAATAATAATTGAAATTATGTGTACAGTCCACGACAAAAATTTAAACGAAATCAGTTTTTCAGTATTTTTTTATAATTCTTTTTTTCAGTATTTTGTTTTCATACTGTGAAGTACGGATATGATTCAAAGGGTGATATAGATAGTACGAGAG